ATTTGAAAGTTAACATTCTCCTAAACTCAAAATATATTTCCAATAATACTTACCTCTGCTGACACTCTCCCACCCTACCTGCGAGTAAAAGCAGGGTTATGTCTCAAAATAGTGATTACATTATCTGAATGAGGTGCTTATATACAATACCTAGATAGAGAGCACATTGAAGTTGGTGAAGAGATTTGCAAATTAGGATTTGCCAAGGGCATTCAATTGGGGTATAAAAGATTGGAGTAAGTGTTTTGAATGCTTAGATGGGCAAAGAGTAGAAACCCTGAAGATTGAGAAATAGCTATTATGTCAGCAGAGGTAAGTATTATTGGAAATATATTTTGAGTTTAGGAGAATGTTAACTTTCAAATTATTGACATCATTACTTTAAAACCAAGAACTGAGCATGTGTGCTTTGTGACAAAGAATAGTATCATTTTGAAATGACACATTGCTGTACTTATTAAAATAGTTTTATGGCCTCTGTAATATATTTGTTTAAAATAACTTGAACTTCTTAGGGATTCACATGTGCAGGCAGTTCACAGTAAAACCAAACTCCTAATGTGTAGAATGGAGCCTACATTATAATGTTTCCACAAAATCCAGTACTAGTTATCAACATTCCAGTGGTGATGAGCTTTATTTGTATTATTATTATTAAAGCAAAATGATGTTAAGTGCTTTTGAAAGTTCCGCATGATGTGTATATTCCATCCCCACATTTATATGTTCAAGGATCCTCTAGATAATCTTGACAGGAAATTTTGTTCCTACATTTTGCTGTTGAATAAGATCATTATGTCCAGTATATTTATAAAGTAAACATGAAAAACTAAGTAATTTATTATTTTAGTAAATGTTCATAAGTATAGTTAATAGGTGACTGAAGGATTAACCTTTATGATTTCTGTCAATGTCTCTGCTTATACTGTTGCATATCTTTATTATCATTATGTCTTTTTGTCTATACGAAAAATTCTTTATTTATCATTAAGATAATTGAAGAGCCACCCAAAGCCTTTTTCATTATAAATGTGTAAAATGTACTGTTCATTTTCTTGCAACAGATGGCACCACATCCTCAAAAAGATGTATATTCTGATACATGGAATAGACCATATAGTCGACAGAAAGCAGCATTTCCTGCAGTAAGTCCTTTTTTGTTGGTTTTTTTCAGGCTGCAACATATAATTTATCTGTATTATATGTTTAAAGATATGTATTATATGTTTAAAGATACATAATATATCATAGCATGTGTGACGATTTTGTCTTGAAGTTTGGATCAAAACAGTTTTAGTTTCTTATGTTTACTTGAATGTGGGTTGGCTTTGTTTGAGGACAAATTTCTTAAATACCATTTCACCACAGATGGGAACAGTCAGTGTTAATTAGAAGTATAAGTAATTTACAAAACTTGATTCAACAGAATAGTTTTAGAGAGAAAAAAAAATATATATATATATATATATATCTGGCTATTTTGAAGTAAACAAGAACTAACTTAAAGATTCACTTGAACACATAAAATGAAAACAATGATCTTTTTTCTTCAGCATAATCTTCCCAAGAAATCATATTTTTCAGAAATTAGTCCACCAAAGACACATCGAATGCATGTTGCTTTTAACCCCCTACCTACCGGGGCCATTTTGTCTTATCCTGAGGGCAAAATTACATTTGTGAATTGAAAAAATTATAGAGAACTTATCTTTTATTGTATTTCAGATTTTATTTTTGTAAATAGTAGCATAACATTCAATTATTTGTACAAAATTGTATTATTTAATGACGTTTAAAGAGAAATGTAATTTAAAAAATCCCAAAATATGTTTGAGACTATAAATAAGCACCCTCTAAGAAGAAAATTTTTTTCAACATTTAAAAATAATTTTTCTTTGCACTTTAGTGCTAGTCCAGCCATCTATGATTGGTATCTAAACTTTTTTCTAGTCTGTTTATGTTTTGTTTATAAAACAGCATCTGGTCATGTTAAACCTCAGTTGTAAAACTTTCAGCCAATCCTAGTAGATTTCAGTACCATGTTATTCCAGTTGCTGTATTTCATGTTTGACAAATCATAGGATGATAAGCAAAGCACGTGATGAAACATTGTTTTCTGGATTTTACAATATGAATGTGGATGGTACTTATTATAGTAACTGCCATTTTATGTAGAGGTTGTATTTAGTATTGGTCAAT